CCTTGGTTTTCCCCGTCATTGTCCTTATGAAAACCGCCCTTTCCTGAACTATTATCGCATTTCTTCTCGATTGGCCTCAAAAACAATGATCCATAGATTCAGCTCTTTCCATTTTAACCTGTTCTGATGTTGTTTATGCTGGTGGAAATCAGGAACGATGCCAGCATGAGTTCAGGCAGCAGCTAATTAATATCAGAGATTTTCTTCTGTTAGCCCCACTTCCTCACAGCATGTTTTTTACTGTCCACCACTCTTTCTCTCCTGTTCCTCTTCAAGGTTACTGCGGTGCTGCTGAGACACGGATCCTCCCCCTGCAGAGTGGATTCAGTGAAGGCAGCAGGGGTACGAAACCCTGCCTGCTGCCCCAGCCGTGGGTCAAGCCACCGAGCTGCACGGCCCCACGCATAAAGACGCTTTTGGGTCTCCCCTTTGCGTTCCTGCTGTTAGCACCAGCGGGGGAGGTAGGAGCCTTCCCAGAGGAGGGGGTCTGCAGGCAAAGAGCAAGAGTCGATTGGCATTGTGGTGGCCTGCCTTTGAACCGGTAACTTAGCCTTGAAAAGCCAGGGCTGGTAATTGCCTATCTTGATAATAACCGTGTGAATACTGTTATCTAGTCCACCCTTCCACTTTCCAGCCATTGTGCGGTGGCACTGCCTCATTTCTTGGCTTGGCGATACCTGCTCATTTCCTAGGAGCCAAATCAAAATAGCCTCTGATCTTGCTGCCCATTTCCTTGCCTAGCTGGGCAAGAAATCACAGGTCTGCATCATTGCCAGGAGCATCCAGCTTGCTTTCATGGGCTTATTCCAGCCACTGTTTTGCTAACTGAAAGCTTTCCAAATTCAGCATCGCAGCCTACTTACTGGGTTTCCCAAAGCCACGTAAACTTTTCTGACTGCTTCCCTGCGGTCCTGGGACAGTTTCCATAAGCATACATTCTTCTGCCCTCTTTTTTTCATCTTGAACCAGTTTCTGAACAGCTAACAGGAGCTACTGTCTGTCCAACCAGGAGACTGGGCTTGAAACCAGGGACTAAAGTGCTTTTACTGGGAAGTAAAATCCATGATTGTACAGATTTAAAAAATCATGGACCAAAACCTTGGCATAATTATAGCCTCTCTCCTTCCCATTAACCCCTCCATGAATGAGCTGTCGCTCTCTTTCCCCTGGTGCCTGCTCCCTTGCTCTCTGATGGGCTAGACGGGCTATATGTGCCTAACGAGCCTCCCAGCTGTTGCTTCTCAGCTCTGACATTTGCTGCTTCCCTTTCAGCCCTGAAGGGGAAGGGTTCATGTGGCCAAAACCTCACCGCCTTCTTCCAGTTCTATTAGTTCATCTAATAAAAAGGATTACCTCTACCCGCCTCCCACGCCTCCTTTACATAAGAAGCGTGAATCATCGGGATCTCAAAAACATGATATTTGCCCAAAGAGCCAACTTACAAAGGACCATTGATAGCCCTGTTATTTAACTGGAACCGCAGCCTCGAGCTTCAGTGGGAGCTCAGGCGGGGGGGTGGGCTCAGTATGGGCAAGGGCCCTCCAGCTTTTAGGTGGCCCTTCCCCATAGCATCCGTGTTCTGGACCCGTTGCAGCAACACTTCAGCTTGCTCCTGTCAGGTGGGTTCATGAGGTTTTACAGTGTCAGGTATTTATTTTTTCAGCCTATGTGAGGCAGAATTGCAGCAAAGCCCCCTGCAAATAGGTGTTACAGCCAGAGACAAGCTTTTTAAGTCTGCTTCTTTTCATTTTTCTCTTCTTCAAGAAAAATTATGGTGGCATTCAGAACAGGACCTGCTGGCTGGCGCAGGGAGAGGCCCCCTTGGTTGCAGACCTTCAGCGCGGGGACCTTCATGCTCAGAGAGGGGCTAACCAAAAGCTGCCCTGCCCTTCTCTTTTCAGCTGGGGAATCAGAGAAATGCAATGCTCCAGCTGGTCCCAGCCACCCAGAAACCTGTGGTTAGGGGTTGCCATCTGACTCTACATCAGAGCCATCTGTTTCACACACAGCAGCAAAGGGAGCATTTTGGTTTTTTTCCCCAGTGTGGCAAGGACATGAATCAAAGCAAAGGCAGGCAAGCAAATCTGGAGCCAAGGAAAACTGGGAGGTGCTGAGTTACCAAAAGTGGTTTGGATAGGTCAATGCTACTCAAGTATCAAGAGAAGGGAACATATATGCGTATGCAGGTGTCTGGCATCTCTTGGGCTCCATCCCATTTTGGGGTAGTTCAGGCGGGAGAACGGTAAATCCGAAATATATATATTCTCTGGCTTAGATCAGAGTGGGGCTGTGTGAGTGGTAAAGGGGAGTGAAAATCAAACCCATTCTTCCTTGGCTTCAAAAGTTTGGACTGCAAAGGAGCTCTGTTCAGGTAGCATATATAAGGGCAGGGTTTTCCTTATTCAGCCAAAGTGCGAGGCGGGGTAACACAGTTATGGCCAAACTAAATCAATGGCAGCTCTTTTTCCAGCCACACCCCTGTTTATTCTCGGACCTTTTATGCTCCTACGACTCCGGTGGTTCACATTGTGCTGGGTGGCATCTTGCCTTAATTTTTCAGAAAAGATTTAAGGTTAATGGCTGATGCTTGGAGCGCTTTGTTCTTCAAAATGCCTGTCCGTCCTCTCCTCTCTCTACACGGATTTCCTCCACTTACTCAAAGGTTCCTGTTCCTCCTGCGGGAAAGACTCACCCACTTGTGCTGCAGCTGCTGAACAACCCCAGCACCCAAAAAATGAGGCGGTGGTCTTGGTTCAGGCTGCAGGGCTGCTCTTGGAGCAGCTGGGCTGTGCTGAAGTCAGGCTGGGACCCTGCAAGGGGGACTTGGGGAAAATGGCATTTTGTGGTACGTGTTCCCCCCATCCCAAGTCTAGCTCATCACAGTCGTCCGTTACAGCTCTGGAGTATTTAGAAGCCTGAATGTTCCCAAAACCGAGTGAAGACCCAAGTTTCTAAGTATTTTTGGTTGCCTAACCACTCGGGTGGCCCCAGGGAAGACCCCCCACGTACCCCCCTGACTCTGGGGTGGTGGGTGTGAAGTATCAACCAGCTTTTCAGAGCCACCGTGCCTCATGAAGCTTCTCAGTGCTTTGACAGACCTGGCCATGAGATACTTTGGATTATCAACCCTGGCGCATGCCAGGTTTCTTAAGTGCAAAAAGCACCTGTAGATTTTGACTCTCAAAGGTGTGAGTACTGCCCGATGAGGAAGGGAAGTGGTCCAGCGCCAGGCGGATGCAATGCACTTGGTATGGAGATGGAGGAGCCTTCCTCTTAGTGGGACATCTGCAGTAGCAGGTCGAATATCTTCCCAGCTTTCTTCATCTATGCTTTTGCCCAGGCCTGCCGAAACACAGTCCCTTTTCAGATCACTTTTGGGACAAAGGTGTAGAGGCTGAGATCTCCCCTTCCTGCTGCCTGGTGGGGTGAGGCAGAGCCGAAACACCTCCAGCTCCCAGCCAGGGCAATGGAAAGAGTTAAAGAGCAACACGATGACCAGCCCTCCGGTTTGGTTAAAACCTCTGGAGCTGTTGTTTGGTTTCCTATCCTACAGAACCGAAAGCAGTTTTGGAAAACAAAAAGCACGTGAAGCCACCACATGGTCTGGTGGTGGGGATGTGTTTGCCACTAAAGTCTCGCTCCCCTGGACGGTGCCGCCCAGGAGGTGCCTCAGGTCTTAGTGCGATGCTGCTGCTGGGCAGCCCCATGGCACTGACCACCCCTGTCCTTGCAAAATTGCTATAGGGGTAGGGGACAATATGGCCAACGCAGCTGTCCTCACCCCCGAGGATGGGACTCGCCATGAGGAGAGTGATTCATGCTGGAACTGCCCCAGAACTGGCAATTCGAGCCCAGGGCTGGGAGCCACCCTCCATCCCCAGCCGTTGGTGCAAGAAAAAGAGGCGAATGCCAGGTCAGCCCCTGCTGCCCCCCAGCCCCACGCAGGTCCCACAGCTGAGGGGCGTGCCACCAAGCCGCCCCACCTGGGAACGGACCAAAGCCTTATCCTGCAACGTAAATTTGGGAGCTGGGTGAGAGCAAAGGCACAGCCACACACACCACAGGGCTGCTGTGCGCAGCACCCCCCTTTTGGAGGGTGGGGTCCCAAAAATAGAGGCCCAAACCTATTGCATTGGAAGCTGCCCTCAAACTGTGGCTGTCTAAAGGCAAGCAAGAAATTGCCGCCGGGGCAGAGAGGAAAAGGTGGCTGGCTCTCATGAGATGGCTCTGCCCACAGCAGGCAGGGCTGCCTGGCACCTGCCTCCCACCCCCTCAGGGAGGGTCACCCTCCAGAGGGGACACCGTGCAGAGCTGGGAAGAGGTGGGCATGAGGCACCAGTCTAATATGTCATGGAGAGGCGATGGTGGCAGGACAACCCTGCCGAGGCCACGGTGGAGCTGTTTTTTTTTTGAGGTGTAAGAGCTGCCCTCCACTTTGAGCAAGGACTACTCTAGACAAAAAAAAGCCCTCTTCCCGCCCCCCCGCGGCTGCACTTGGGCTGGGGGATTGCAGCAGCCCCTTGCAGTGGAGATAAAGCAGAAATCTCCATGCAGGGCCTTGCAGCATGCCGTGGTGGGGGCTGGGGTGCTCAGGTCCCCCTGCATGCTCCCTCCACCATTGCCGGTGCTTGGAGCATCCCTCTTGGGCAGCCCCACAGAGGGGCC